CTTAAAGATATGTCATCGCTTTCTTTATTAACTTTCTGCTGTCAGAAGCATAAAGCGTTTGTCTCAGCCCTGAATTCTTCTAACTCCTGCAACGTATATTTTCCAAGTTTGTAAATCTGCTTGCTGTCACTTCTGAACAGCTAGCATTTAGTGCTTTCTAGCATTTTTTTCCCAGAAACTGCTGTCGATGACTCATCTCTCTTACTCTCCTCAAATCTAAATTTTCCACCTGTCCAAAATGGAGTGGCTTTTGAGAAAAAAATGTCCCAGCCTTGAATATGTTTGCTGAGTTTCTGCCTGTGTCAGCATAGTTTTTTTCCAAAAATCTTCCATGAGCTTTTGCTACATCTTCAGAGCATGTGATGTCTCCATGCAAAGACAACACAGAAGCGTGCTCCCCAAATGACATTATTCAGTAGGCAAGGCTGAGGACCTCAGGGTGGAAATGGTCACCATTCCTACTCTGATTCCTTTTCTCATAACACACAGTGGTTTTTTGAGTTTATTTCTTGATTATGTAGAACAGCCATCTTGATTTTTTTCTTGATTTTTTTCTTGATTTTTTTTCTTGATTTTCTGCTTCTCCCAGTGTAAATTAGTTTGTCTTTTCCCACCTTTATAATTACATAGCTCAGATGCATGCATTGTGCATATGACGAAATCGGGCAAATTGTACTTCCGGACATCCTTTCTACGATTTGGTTGTATTTAATCTTTTTTTAACATTTTAAAACATATCGGGTTATGAAACTTGCATACACACATATATATATAGAGAGAGGGTTTTATATAGATATAAAAATAAATGTTTATATATATACATATATATGCACACACAGGGTACACTTTGAGAGGAAAAGTGCTCTATAAACCATGTTGGATTATTTTATTTTTCATATGAAAAGAAAAATGGGAACTCTGTCTTCAAAATTCATAAAAAATGCTTGTTTATTTATCCAAAAGTCTGGAGAAGCTCATTTCATATCATTCCTGTCTCTTGAGTAAATATATTAGTCATTCTTAAGCAAAAAAAGTATTATTGATTTGAGTGATTAAAAAAAGTTCTTTCTAAATCAGTTTAGCTGATAAAATAAATAAATACTTAAATGGCTGGAGGCAAAAAAATGAAAAGAAAAACCGGTCAAGCACAACTTATTTTCATCCTTGATGTGTGTAGGTATTAGAAATCAAGTTTGTGGAACATGTATTAAATAATTATGATTTGTACATATAAATAAATACCACATATAGGTTACAGGCAAATTCAAAAGTAAGGGCATATTCAGGAGTGTAAAGCATCACTAGAAATGATCATTGTCTGTTGAGTGCACCTCAGTGTAAAAGTTGAAAACCATGTGCCGATTTTTGCACACATGAAGGGTGAAGTTGTCTTTGCATTTGTTGTTTTTTTGGGGGTTTGTTTTTTCTTCAGTTGGATAAAGTGTCTTCATTCTTCTGATTAAATTCAGTGTTTTATGACGAGAAATGTTACAATTTTTTTGCATAACAGCCTCACAGAACCAGGCACCATTTGTCTCGGACCCACAATATGGCATTATTAAAGTGTTCAGCACTGAAGAGGCTCATTTCCTGTACCTTGTTCAAACACCTTTAAGGTGGAATACATTTAGTACTGTGAATTTTAGTATTCACCTTTTAAGGCTGATGCTTGTTAATAGTAAGTTATGTACTTTTTCAGAATTTTTTTTTCTGTTCATTACAGCGTTGTTTAAGACTGAGATGATTGCTATATCGAATATTCCTGCCCTCTGTCAGTGCATAGATAATAATGATGTAAATGCTTTCACCCTTCTGCTTCTCGTAGTTTAGCTGTAATTTTAGAACATAATTTTATGCATCTCTTCGGGAATTTCAGTTAGAAGAGGCAGCACCACACATTCTTTTGTAGGACTTGGGACTGCACTGTACTACACATTGTCCATGCATAGTGACTAAAAGGATGGGGTAATCCCCAAATAATTGAGGTTGTTAAGATTCTGTGGAAATAACACCATTACTGGCAACATGCAACACCCTTCAGTTTGTGTATTGGTCTTAATTCCTGCATCTGCACTACAGTATATGGTAGAAACCTGACCTTTCACATAACTGTAGTAGCATTGTCAATGATTTGCATTATAAGTAGTCTGGAAAAATCTATACAGCACTGTTGCACTAAGAGCATGGATCTGCCTCATAGATGAAGGTTTTAACTGACAGGAAAACATCGGAGTTGTAGAGAAACTTGAAAAAATATAGCAAGCAGATAGCAGTGATATCAGCCTTGTAATTAGCTGTATTGTGGGCTGATGTTACCTTTTTTCTAGTCCTGGGCACCTTCAGTTGCAAACCATGTGAGGAGACATGTCTTCATGTCATTTCTAAGTCTGTATTTTCTTTATTTATTAATATTTTTGTTTGAATGTCTTGACCTTCCAGCTAAAAATCAAGTTTCATTGTCATCAGTGGATTTTCTGAGTAGAACAAGGATATGAAAAGGATCTGTGGATAGAGGTGTCAATTTATGTTTGCAAACTTATTGTGAGATTACGTTACCTCCGTTACCTCCGTTATGTCTCTTTGTTCAACTTATGTTGTTATTTTAGCCCAAAAAAAGGCCAAAGATCATCAACTAAAGTGCATGTAGAGTAAAGCTGCTCCTGTAAAATTGATGATCCGTCCAATTATTTATCTATAGAGGCTGCTGGGAAGAAACACAACTATCTCAGTTCTCAGACCCCTCTGCTAGGTTGAACTTCATGGCTGAAGGTTTAATCCCTAAGTGTCATATCAACAATTCATTCTGTGATATTCTGGCTGACATGCTCTCCTTCCTTATTTATTGATGTCTTCAGTCATCGACAATAAGAGGAAAATACGCTATTCGTCAAAGTGACGGTGTTTTACCCTCACTTACAGTTGATGCTGCTGTCACGTTGATGGTTGGAAAATAAACTCAATCATTATAAAAAGCTAAGAGTGTGAACTTGCCAGTGACAGGCAGAAGATGAAAAAAAACAAACCACAGTAACTTGCTTAAAATTGGTGTAATAAAAATTCCCCCTAAAGTTGCTTATAAAGATATTTTTGAGCTGTGTTTAGGCATTTACTTTATAGTTATGCCTTTGAAGGAAGATCCTCGCACTCCTTTATGTCTGTGCAAACATACATATGATTTTTAGCAATAAATATTTCTTATCATTCCACTTCATGCTACATGGTTAGTAATTTGTTGATTTTTTTTCCTCTCCATTTTTACGGGATTTTGCTTTGTTTTTTCTCCGCCAGACTACATAGAATGCACGTGTCTGGTTGTGTATTACAATATTTTGAGTGCTTTGATGAGGAATAAACTTAGTTTTCATCCAGTAAGTCCTTTGACATGCATACTTAGGCAGGGCTCTCTTGAATTCTTTCTTAGGCTACCATTTGTATAGCTGTACTGTACCTTACAGCTTTTTTAACTCAATAACCACATATCTTACCACATTTCACCTTTGGGAGGCATTGTATATACAGCTAAAAGTAAAGAGCAGCAAGCCAAGAGGGACAAGATAGCATAATGAGGATGTCAATTTGTGGTCAGATATCTGAGGAAATATTTATCTTACTTGTACTGTACTTGGCAACAGATAGAGAAATATATATGTAACAAATTTCCTTAGCCTTTATCTGACAGAGTATGTATCTTATGTTAAATAGATTTATAAAAAAAAAAAAATTGCTTGTCCCATATTTTTAAAGTTTGAGGTGATTCTACTTCCAGTTGTTTCCTGAAAATGGACTGTATCTATTAAAAAAAATAAGAATAGTCATGTTTGCCCTACCAACATATTGGTGAATTTTTTGTGATTAATTTTCCTTAAATAATGACATTTTAAGATCCCACTCATTCACCAGAACAAAAGCAAGACATGATTTTTGTTGTTTATGAAAAAAAATCACGTTTTTGTAGTTTTGCTCAGTTTTGTTGCGTATCTCTGGCAATCTAGCTAAGTAGCCTAAATGAACGTGCACAGAAATGCTGGTTGTCTCACATGTGCTGTGTGTCCTGAGGCAAGCTACAGCTGCTTCAGCTGCTTGGATCTGCTTCCTCATCTGTAAAATGGGAGTGATTTAACTTATATTTGTCCTTCAGGGAAATACAGGGAGGGTTTCTTAATGTTTCTATAGAGCTTTGAAGATTCAAATCTCTTCTTTATACTTTTTGCTAATACTTCAATGTAAGAGGAACACTTGACTGAAGCTGTTTGAAGAGTAAAGTTTTGGCATCTTGTGTTGTCTTTGTACCTTGAGGCCTCTCCACTATAATTTTGTAACCTTTGGTTCAGCATAAGCTGTGGAAGCAAACAGCCCTTGTGTAAACAAATGGTGATGACAATAGATTAATGTATATGCCTGCTATTAAAAACATCAGGAGATCCATTACAGTGTATCTCTAAGCCTGCCAGAAATAGTCCATGATGGAGCAAAATAGTCACCAGTAACTGGGCTTAGCCTGAAATAGCTTTTATTTAAGCATCAATGGGAAAGGCTGAACGGCATAGAGAGTCGTTTTCTTCTAATGTGACTTCTCAGTGCCTGTAGAAGTGTAGGGATGGCTGGTGTGTTAGCAAAGGCTTCCTGACTTCCTTCCGGAGACAAGAAGTGGGCTTAAGGAGCGTGTGGGCAGGGTGAGCGCCCAGCGCTTAGGGCAAGTCTGAAAGTCGTCTTACCTTTGTTTTACAGACCAAAGGTCAGCCTAGACAGCCTCAAGAGATTGCAGGGGGACAGCTTCTGGTTTGGTTGCTGCTTCTTCAGAAGTTTAATGTTGCTTGGAAAACTTTGAATTCAGTATAATGATGTCTTCCTCTATGCAGTGAAGAGGAGTGATCAGGCTATCACGTGTATTAAATGCCGCTGTTCTTTAAATAGCTTTGTTACAATCTCACCTGGCATTTTGAGGCCTTAGAGTCACAAGCTATATTTTTCATGATTTGCATTTTGATTTCTTAATGCAGAGCAGATTGGACAGGAGATGCTGGAAAACCTCAGCCATGACAGAGAGAAGATCCAGCGTGCTCGGGAAAGGGTAAGTTTGAAAATAATTGCTTGTCTTGGGTTTTATTTGCTTTGGGCAAGTTCTCTGTTCATGCAAAAATAATCCAGCATATTGATCAGTTTTATATAAATCAGCTGCTATTGTGAGACATAATCACCATCTGCAGCGAAGCACTTAAGAAGTGTCTTATATGGGCCCAATCCTGGAAAGCCTTTCCTACAGGAATTCAAGCTAAATTCACCAAACCTGCTGTTGGAAGCAAGCTTTCTGTCACTAACATCATAGTTAAAACAGTTTTCTGTCCTTTGAAGGGTTTGCTATAGTGTCTATTGCAGTGACTTCTTGGACTTTCTATGAAACAAAGTTCAGTATCACGACTGGGCTTTTAATAGTTGATCAACCTTACTCTTTGTAGCTGCAAATGCTAGTAATTGCCTCCTTAAGCGATTCTGTGTGAAAGAACAGGTAGTGGTTTCTTACACTGCTGCTCTGTTACTGCAGTCAAGATAACGTTTTTTCATTTTTGGCTTATGTTGCCTCCATAGGGATCAACTCTACTCTGTAGAGTTAATGAAGATGTCCAGCAGCCCATCTCATCCATTGCATACAACTTCTCTGAACCTCAGTCTAAGAAGTTTGCCTCTCTGATCCTGGTTTCTGCTTACAGAACCAGGAGTGATTGCACCTGTGACCTTCTGTCCATGGCACCTTGACCAGATATTCTCCTAAGTGTCCAATTTTGCCAAAGATAAGTCCATTATCTGTCCCAGGGAGTTTCTTTACCTGGAAATTCTTTACAGGTTTGATTGGTAAAGCCTGATATGACAGCTCTAACGAGGCGTTTTCTGTAAACTGTACCAGTTGCTTTCTGAAGTCCTGCACATTAGCTACTTTAAAAAATGAAGTATATAACTAAATCATTAAATGTAACTAGGAATTGTGAGCTTTACCAAGTGTTGTTCAGGCAACGTTGTGTCTTAATTCACCTCCACTCCTCACATCCCTAGTGACTGCTGAGTGTGAGATGCTTTTCTGTTTCTAGCTGGACAAGTAAAACCTAAGCAAAGGAGATTAATAACGTGTATCCCTTTCTGCTGATCCTAAAATCCTCAGGAAAGGAGGAGTGTAGTTCTGATGACTCTATACTCATGGTTCACAGTATAACTTTTCCTTCTCTGTGCTTTCCACCTGAGCAAATTTCTTTGATGGCAAAACCTGAAAATTGCAAGAAGGAAGACAAAAAATAAGGGTATTCTAGGAACGTGTATCTCATCACAGTTCAGCAAAAGACCTCTCATCATAAATGGAAGATCTCAAATTCCAAGTTTTTATTGTATGCCACTTAAAACATTTTGTTCAGGGAATTCAGTAAAGTTCTCCAGTGGAGCCACATGAGTACATCTGTCCCAGCTGTCTATATGCTCAGATGTACAGTCAGGGATGATCTTGAATAACTTGGCAAGTTTTCCATTTTGTGGAGATTTTTTAAAGACCAGGACAGAGGATGCTCTGTCAATGCATAATAGCTTTACACTGAATACACTGAGTTATTATCTACTCAACCAGGGAACAAACTTGTCTTCTGAAAGTCAAATGTCAGCTTGAGTATGATGGTCAGTTCTTAGCAGTCCAGTGTTGGGAAAATTGGAAGATTGTCTTATGAGCAAAATTTAAATGAGTTAGTGTCTCTATAGTTTGGTTAAATTTATATATATGAGTTTTCCTGTCTGTAGAGTAAAACATTTGAATGAAGAAAAATGCAAGACATAGCTAGTATCATTTTGAATAAATGAAAATCATGTGCAGTGCAAAATACATGAGTAATAACAGTTGTGAAGAGGAATTCTCTAAACCACTTTTTTTTTTTTTTTTTTAAGCCAAAGAGAAGGGATAAAAGCTCTGCTGCAAGAGTCAGATAGGTTAACTGGAGTATAAAGGACTCTAAAAGATGCAATTTTTTTTAGGAAAACCTCAAATTAAAATGTGTCTAAGGCAGCATCTTGTTCATCTTCCTTCCTTTCCCATTATTATTCTTAATATTATTTTTTAAAAGCTTTCTTAAACACCATGTAGATTTGCCATTGCTAATATCAAAGCATCTTTCAAAATCTTTTCACTACAGCAGTTCTGTGAAACAGGGAATTACCATCATATGCCATTTAACAGGTTTGCATGCCACCAGTTCTTTGGCTTCTGCAGTGCACTGGTGTTGGTAAAGAAATGATGGAAGAACTACCATCATATATTTCAGTTTTAAATAAAAACAAACTTACAGTCTGAAACTCTTCATGTTGTTTTTTCTGCCAATACAGGAAGAAAATGTATTTTTTTTAGTGTTCTCTTGGGAGGTAGCTGGAGATCTTCCAACTATGTGTGTACATGTTTGTTTCTTTTTTAACATTTCTTTTGCTTATTTTGTGGTTTGTTTTATTACCATAAAAATATGAGGTCGTCTTGCTTGGAGGAGTTTGTCAAACCTCTAAGATTTAGTTTCTCCTTCCTAACTATCAGTACTGATTCTAGCTGTCGGGTAGAATCCTGCAGCAAGAGAGGAAAGTTAGGATCAAACATATAATTGTAAAAAGGAGAGAGCTACTTTTCTGTGAAAAGGGAGGAGAAGCCCCAAGTGTTAAATGCATCTTTATGAATAATAAAAGACCAATGTAAAGCATACATTTGTACTTCAGATTCCCTTCTAGCATAGATAAGAACTTGGCTTTTTAATGAGCCTTTTAAAAATTATTGTGACGTTTTTTCATCTGTTACTTGTGTCAAACTGGGCTAAAATGCTTTTCTGGAGCTTGAATTGTCTGGATGAATCAGGAAAAAATGAGGGAATGGCCTCCCTGGAATATAATGCTCATCTTTGTTCCATCATGGCACATAATTACAGAGATCTGAGAGTCAGTGCAAGCCTTCCCACTGTATATGGTATTGCTAAGAGCAAGTCTTGGATGGTGGTATCCAGTCCCAGCATTTACCTGGTATTTTCTTAATACCTTTTACAAGAACAAGGAGGAAATTTATGCAAAAAGGTTATGTGTCATTGATTGCAACTACTGATTTCAGTAATAAACACTAAATCTGGTAGCAAATATTTACAGTATTGGGCTCCAGAATAGAAATGAGGTTTAATATTGCTGCTGTGCATGTATTCAAGATATAATAGTGGTTTGTTATGGTGAAGGTGATTTGTTATTGGAAGACTGCCACTTTTCTTGGCAGTGTTACTGTTTTGATGGATTATAAAACAGGACGCATTTTGTCTTCAACAACAAAGTTTCTTTAGTAGGAAGTCAATGAGTCAGGTAATCCTTTCAATCTGGTTTGATAATGAAAAGGTAAATATTCAGCTTTCATGAGGAGAAGAATGTTTTTTATGTCTGTACACACAGCTGTGTTTCAGGGCATGTTAGAAACAGTGAATCTTTGCTGTTTCATAACTGATGGTCATTACATTATCATTTACAGTAGATTTTGATGTCGCACTTTTAGATCTCTAAAAAGTCCAAAGATGTCTCTCCTTTAGCTAGTTACAATAGGATTGTAACTCTATTTTTCCTTTACACTTCTTCATTTCTAGACGTCATTTCATGGGAGACTAATGAACACAAAAATAAAAGGAAGGTTTTAATCCATTTTAAAGAACAGTAGAAGGAATTGCTCTTTTTTAATATGAAGTTCATTTGCTTCATAAATTTTCATATCTCCAATTTCATTTTTTATACTGTTGTGCTTTTACCTATTTTGCAAGATTTTTGAGAGCTGTAGAACAAGTCAGCTAATTAAGTTTATCTGTAAATGTAGGTTTCCTCTGTCCTAATAAACTACTAAAAATGTTATTTTCAGTGAGTGATCCATACATGCAAAAATATATATTGTACAGCTGTGCCTTATGTACATACTATATACTGTTCACAAAGTATTTGGGCATCCATCCCAGTGGTGGCTGCCGTAAGGTCAGTACAAGTTTAGTGTTTAAGGGACAGTATAGACATATTTCTTTTATACAGAATTGGTAAAAGGGCACTGTTCTGTATTACTGCTTTTTCTTTAAACTACTGTCTTTGAAAAACAGTGAAAGAAAGATATGTTTGTTTTTCATTTGATAAAGCATCAGGAACAGAGCACGTGGCTGTCTCTTCATTTCTTGATGCCCTCACTAAAATACATAACCAATAACACACACACATCAGTGAGAATTATGGATACCAATTTATAGAACTTCTACCTGCAACTCTTTATTTGTAAAGCTTTTGCTCTTTACCCTGGTTCATCTTTGTTGCCTCAATGTCTTATCTTCTGTGGGTTTCATCTTTACGTAAGTGAAAACCAGACGAAACATTTTTAAATTTCAGAGCTTCGGTGGCTTTCTTACATGTGAGTTTGTTGTAGGCTAAACCTGAAGTTGATTGACTCAAATGACAGTAGAAATACCTGTCCTTTGTACAGAATGGAGTACATGTACCTTTTGCCTTTAATGGGACCCTTTTCTCCCCAGCTTAGAGAAACAGATGCAAACCTGGGGAAGAGTTCCAGGATTTTGACGGGAATGTTGCGAAGGTAAGGCCAAGGTAGGGACACTTCTGGTCTTTCTTTTTTCCCTCTGCACCTTTATTTTTCATTTTAATTCCACTTCAGAATTTTGCTGACATACCTAACTTTTTTTGTACAGACTGCTATGTAGAATGTCTTCAAATGAATGGTGATAGTGAAGCAGGCATGGTTAGATAGGCTTTATCACAGCTGTGGAAAGAGTTTTCTGTAGCCTGAGGGATTACCCCTTCCTCAATCGTGTCTCATCTTTGTTTCTTTGTATTTAGGATTTTTTGTGTGTGTGTTCTAAAATTAAGCTTTTTAATGATGATTTCCTGTGTTCCTTATTCTTGAGTGATTTCGGTGTTTTCAGGGTTTTTCACCCGTTAGATTTTATGTGAGAAAGTTTATAAATGTACTGGTGCACCATAAATTTGCACTCAGAGAAAAGGTTAAGATGATCGATTCTGTCTGAATAGATGGGGCAGACACATTGTCAAACCTTGTGGTTTTAGCATGTTTCTTCCATGTTTTCACTGTGATGAAAATTGTCCCTGGGATTAACGTGAGTTGATACGGAAAGGAAAAATTTGCAACATCCTAAAAATCTATGTGGGACTTCAGGAAGGGAGTTATCCCATGATTGCTACCAACCTTAAATTTACATTGGTACCTTCCCAGATAGATTTTTTGAGTTAGTGGCGTCTCTGGATATGTTTTCTTTACTCGATGAAACACCTGAGCTTCTCTGTAATGTCTATATTTCCATATGTATTCCTGAAGAGGAAAAGCATTCCTCTAGTAGATGGTGTTGGGTGCTATGAAAACACAGTTGTAAAGGAGTTTAGAGTATCCTCAGAAATGTTCAGTATGAAATTACCCTTGCCATGGGCTTTTATGTTGCATATTTGCTTAATGCAATTTCCCTATTAAAAAAAAAGAAAAAAGAAGAGAAAGTTTTAGCAGAGTTTTTGATTTGTCACTTGGCTTGGAAAATTTGAAAACCAGAATTTAATAAGTTGTTTTTTAGTGCAAGTTTTATCCCTTCATAAGTCTGCTCAGAAAAATATCTTTGGCAGTTCCTTGTATAGCCAGTTGACAACGGTTAAAATGACTGAACCTCATGCCTTCATTCCACAGATTTCTTACAATTCCAACTCCAAACTATAACATATAAAATTCTCTGATCAAGACTAATATGTAAATGACACAAGCTAAATTCAAAATCCATGGAGAAAGGAAGTGGCAATTGAAAGGGATGGTTCAGTGCCTATAGACAATCAAAATAAACTATAAAAAAAATGAACGAAAGAAAAGACACAACCAAACCCAAGTCTCCCCAGGAAGGGCTCTGCGACATGAGCTGTAACGAATATTCTGCATATGTCTCCATTTTGTCAAATCTCATTAAAGGGGTTTCTTGCTTTATGTCAATTGAGCTGTCCAAAAATCATTCATCATTTTAGTGTAAAAAAAAATCATGCAGTTATTTAAATAATATCATATTAATGTTAAAGTTCAGCTGTCATTTAATAGTATGGCTTAATCAGACATAGCATTTAGGAAAAATAGTTTTTTCGGGCTTTACTTGGCTTTCAGGTTGGCAGATTCAAATAAGGATTTATGGGTTTCTAAACCAATGTATTCTTTCCATGTTTATGCTTGAGGTACCTCAGCCTTTTTTGCAGCACCCTGTAGTCTGTTATTTTCAATAAAATAAAGTATCTTCTCATATTGTGTTTGAATACATTTGCAAGTAATTTGAAGAAGCTGAAACAAAAACATATGCTGTAACCTTTGACTTTGTTTTGTGTTTGGGAATCACAGTTAGGAGTCCTAGTTTATAACTGTTCCATAAGCCAAATGAAAAATACGATCTTTCTGAAGTATACTTGGACTCTTCTTTTCAGACAAAAGAATTATGTAGTTGAACACCAAGATGCCATGTTTCTGTGTGTCAGTAAGGCACTGGGTTTCCTTTTTCTTTAATAAAAATATTGAGCCGAGTTGCCCATCTGAGTGAAAGACAGGTTAGGAGTTAAGCTCAGTTCAGGTAAATGTGCCAAAAGAAATGCCTCGGCATAGATGCAACTTGCAGTAGAAGGGTCTCATGGTGTTAGTTAAAACCACATAATAGATAGACCTATGGTGAATTTAATTTGTTTGTGACTGTTGGGTAGAAGAGTCTAGCATTATCCCAGCCTCAGCATCATCCCAATGTTCTTTAGTCATAAGAATAATCATAAAATACAGGCGCCAAGAAATCAGCACAAATTAGATAAATACAACTGTAAGAAAAATAATTAGCACAGATTGGCAGTTGTGTCCTAATTTCTGCATGCTTCGCTACATACCACCCAATGTTTCACTTAATTACTGGAAACAATAGAGAAACACGCTGGAGGACTATTCTTCACATCATTATTATACGGAAAAGGTAATGTTAAACTGAACGTTGTTCAATTTAGTTGCTGCTCCTACAATATGTGTTTGCTGATACGCCTGAAGTCGAACGCCAGGCTAACACCCTGTGCATCAAATTAATGCCTAAGTATTTCTATTTTTACCATCTGGGAAAGGTAAAGCAACATCTCTTCTGAATCTGGCCAGATATATTAAGAGATTAGATATTTAGATAGCTAGAGGGCTAAATTACTCCTTTTGTATGACCTAATTTCCCTGGCTGTGTGTTTGTGCATAAAACGTTCTGGAGATGGGGAATAAGAGCAAGGACAAGTTCTGTAGGTTGCCAGAGCTCACTAAGGAAATCAGTGGCATAATAGGGACAGGTCTTCCTATCTCAGTTTGCTGCTCTAGCAACTTAAAGTAACCAGCCTTATATATTGGAATTTGTTATCTCCCAGTATTTTGGGTATTCAGGTAAGGAAATTTTTGTAATACATGTTTTTAAATATTCTCACTTTGAAATGACCTATACATTCATAATATTTTTTTCCCCCTGTAAATAAACGTACTGAGATTCCACTAAACTAGTGTATTCCACTCATGGCATTGCATTACTAGGATAATATCGACATGTTGATAATGTCAAAACATTCACAATTTTCTTTCACATGTATCTGTAGCTCTGAACATCCTGACGTTTTATGACTCCTCTTTAAAACTGTAGGACTATAACAGAAGCTCAGTGTAGTTTCAGTTACAGAATTTTCAAATAATAGGTCTTACCATAAGGAAATGGCATCTTCCACGGTCATCTGTGATAATGCTGTCTCAGAGATCTATCCCTTGGCCTCTACTCCAATGTGAACTGGGGAATGCACAGTGTGTTAGAAATAAGCAGAAAATAATATGTTCTGAAAGATCTTCAGTATTTTGCCCATATCCTAAGCTAATAGCCTAGAAAAGCTTTTAAGAAAAGAATTTGGACTGTCTCCAAGCCACACACAGCCCAGTGGGAAACAAACGAATGTAAAAGTAACCAGATAAAAATTTCAGTAGGTTAGAATCTTTATCCAATTAGCAAATAAATTCTATCTACCCCCTTCAAATTGCAGAAAAAAAAAATTTGGAAAAATAGCTACTACACTCCAGAACAATGTTTTATTCTGTCTGGTTCACCAAGAAATTTTTGTGCCAAAAATTCTCTTTTAATCTTCAGACTTCAGTCTTCTGAGTTGTTATCAGTGATGTTTTGAGAAGCTCCTGAACCCTCTTTCGAAATAAGGTTCTCACTCTTTAAAAAAAGTTTTTTAAAAAGCTCTTATAAAAGAAACTTAGAAAATTTGTTTCCAATAGGACAAACACACTAGCTCCAGCTGATGGAAATGAAGCAGTAAGTGTTCAGCTCTCAGGTGATGTTATATGCCTTGTCAACAGCTGCATGACCAATGTGACTACAATCAGGTACAGGGAATGCCTGCCTCTCCATGCTAGTTGTAGTCAAGCTTCCTCACTCTTCTTTCCTGGAAAATTCCAGTAGTCCTGCTTCCTGCATTACTTCTAGTCAAACTTCCTTGTACTCTTGAACTCCAGGGTAGTCCAGATCTTACCCTTATTTTTCAACATTTCACAGAATTATAGGACAGTTTAGGTTGGAAGGGACCTCTAGAGGTCATTTGGTCCAACCTCCTGCTTGAAGCAAGTCTAATTAGAGCAGGTTACTCAGAGACTTCTCCAGTCAAGTTATGAATACATCCAAGGTTGGAGATACTAATGCTTCTGTAAGCAATCTGTGCCAGTAGCAGTTGAAATAAGCGATTTTTCAAGGTATCTAATTGAAATTTCTCAGCATTCAGCTTGTGTCCATTGCCTCTGATCCTAAGCAGAAGTGATTCAAAACAGAAGTGCTTTAGAATTGGCCTTCAGAGTTCAGGCCTGGATTGCAGTCATTCCTAGCAGTTCTCAAACAACTTTGGCAGTTCTGAAGAGGCCCCTGTGGTCATTAGGCTGAGATGACATTCAGTGTAGGACCTGGTCAGGTGGCCATTCAGCAGTGGATGCACGGGAATGTTTTTATTAGCTTTCTCACACTCCTAGAGATGTGAAAATTAATTATATCTGGTCTGCCTTTTCTCTTGATTACGAAGCCCACATTTCCATATGCAGAAGAATAGCAGCAGAGACTGTCATGTCCCTGTTGAGGCAAATCAAAACAAAGAGTGAGTGTTATCTCTGTCTTTTTCCCCTATTTTCCTACCAGTCTCTGTTTCCATCCCCAAAGTCTGTAACAGAAAAGATTTTCTTCTGAGCTAAAGCCTATCTCAGTATCAGTCATACCGAGCCATGACTGTCGAGTCTTTGCAGTTTTCTGGAGGAAGGTCTTTGTGTCGCAGATACTGAGCGAAGTTTAACGTACAGTTAGATTTGCTGTGTTTTCATGCTAATAGAGGAATTCCTCTTTCCAGCAGGAACTTTGCATGTTTGGGCTCAAGCCAAAAGAAGTTTGAGTAGAAATTGTTTCAGCAACTTTTTGGTACATGTATTTCTATTTTTACTTCAAGATGTATTTCTACACTGAAAAATGATGGAAACGGTAAATCTTTTAGCAACGTGTCTGCTCCACGTTGA